GAGGACCCGAAGAGATCAAAATCATTGATTTGCCTTAGGTGTTTGAAGGAATTTGGAATTTGCTCTTTTTAGGCATTCCGACAGCTCAAGACGGCCCAAGATCGCCCCACGATCGCCTAAGAGGCCTTCAAGATGGCCCCATGACGGCACGAGAGGCCTCCAAGACGGTCCCCAGAGGGCCCCAACAGGCCTCCACGACGGCCAAGATGGCCTCCAAGATGGCTAAGACGGTCCAAGATGCACCCAAGATGGCCTAAGATGACCTCCACATGACCCAAGATGGCCCAAGAGAACTCCAAGAGGCCTCCAAGACGGCCCAAGAGTCCTCCAAAAGGTCATCCAGGAGGGCCATCCAGAGGCCAAAACCTTTTGAAATTCCTGGGGTTTTTGATTGGTTTTGGCATTTCAGCCGTTTCGGCCTTCCGACGGCCCAAGACGGCCCAAGAGGCCGCCGAGGTCGCCCCAAGATCGCCCAAGAGGCCTCCAAGATGGCTCCATGACGGCACAAGAGGCCCCTAAGACGGCCCCAAGAGTGCCCCTAGACGGCCCGAGATGGTCCAAGATGGCCTTCAATATGGCCCAAGAGGGTCCAAGATGGATTCTAAGACGGCCCAAGAGGGCACAAGATGCCTCCGAGACTGCCCAAGCTGCGCCCAAGACGGCCCAAGATGCGCCCAAGACGGTCCAAGATGGCCTCAAGATGGTCCGATACGGCCCACGACGCCCCCAAGAACCTCCAAGACTGGCCCAAGAGGCCTCCAAGAGTTCCTCCAAGAAGGCCCGAAGAGGCCAACATCATTGATGTTCCGTAGGTGTTCTAATGATTTTGGCATTTGCGCCTTGTCGGCCTTCCGACGGCCCAGATCGTCCAAGAGGCATCCAAGATGGCCGCATGACGGCCCAAGAGCCCAAGAGGCCCCCAAGACGGCGACCTCCAAGACGTCCAAAAATACCCTCCACGACGGCCCTGAAGCGCCCCAAGAGAGCCCCAAATCGGTTCAGAGAGGCGCTCAAGATGGCTTCCGACGGTGTCAGGCGGGTCGGAACGCCCTAAAACAGCCAAAGAGGCCCCCAAGAAGCCCCAAAGGCCCCCAAGAAGCCCCCAAGCGGCCCAGGGAGGCTCCCAAGAGGCCTCCAAAAGGATCCCAGGAAGCTGCGCAGAGGCCTCCCAAGAGGCCTCGCAAGACGGTTCCCAAGAAGTCTCATCCTCCTACTCCTCATCCTTCCCCATCATGCTCATCCTCATCCTCATCCTCATCCTCATCCTCATCCTCATCCTCATCCTCCTCCTAATCATCATCTTCATCCCTATCCTGATCCTCCTCCTAGTGCTCCCCACGCGTTCCCCGAAGGCTTTCCAAACCGACTCGGGGAACAACTGGCCCGATAGCTTGGCCAAGCTCTAGCCCAGCTGTCGGCCACATAGGCGCTACCAAAGGGGCAAGGGGCGGCGGTGATTCGCCGCAGGCGTCTGCGATAAGAATATGCCGTCCCCTGTTGGCTTGCCACGGGGCGCCCAACGTGCTAGACCCTTTCGGCGTTGTTTCTTTCTCCAAAAGAACTCTCCCCTGGGGCTTCGGCCCGTCCCGCCTGCCACCCCGAAAATGCGCCGGTCAATGTCTTTCACGCCCAAGGTGGCCCCAAATGGACTCCAAGATGTCCCCTAGACGGCCAAGATGGCCCAAAATGGTCTCCAAGTCCCCCTGAGATGGTCCAGGATGGCCTCCACGACGGCCCAAGCGGGTCCAAGATGCCTCCACGTCCGACCAAGAAGCCTCCAAGACTGCCCAAGACTGCCCAAAAGGTGCTCACGAGGCCTCCGAGGGCCTCCGGTATGGCCTCAGGGCTGCCCAAGAGGCCCTCCAGGCCCCAAGAGGGCCCAAAGACGGCCCAAGAGGCCTCGAAGGCGCCAGGGAAGGCCTCCAAGACGGCCCTGGAGCACCCCAAGAGGGCCCCAAAAGTCGGCCCAGAGAGGCCCCCAAGGCGGCTTCCGACGGCGTCGGGCGGGTCGGGAGCCCACCGAGACGGCCCAAGAGGGCTCTAAGATGGCCCAGGGCGGCCTCCAAGAGGCCTCCAAGAGGGCACCCAGGAAGGCCCGAAGAGGCCAAACTCACTCCTCCTCCCTGCTCCTCCTCCTCCTCCTCCTCCTCCTCCTCCTCCTCCTCCTCCTCCCTCCTCCTCCTCCTCCTCCTCCTCCTCCTCCCTCCTCCTCCTCCCTCCTCCTCCTCCTCCTCCTCCTCCTCCTCCTCCTCCTCTCCTCCTCCTCCTCCTCCTCCTCCTCCTCCTCCTCCTCCTCCTCCTCCTCCTCCTCCTCCTCCTCCTCCTCCTCCTCCTCCTCCTCCCTCCTCCTCCTCCTCTCCTCCTCCTCCTCCTCCTCCTCCTCCTCCTCCTCCTCCTCCTCCTCCTCCTCCTCCTCCTCCTCCTCCGCCTCTCCTCCTCCTCCTCCTCCTCCTCCCTCCTCTCCTCCTCCTCCTCCTCCTTCCTCCTCCTCCTCCTCCGCCTCCTCCTCCTCCTCCTCCTCCTCTCCTCCTCCTCCTCCTCCTCCTCCTCCTCCTCCTCCTCCTCCTCCTCCCTCCTCCTCCTCCTCCTCCTCCTCCTCCTCCTCCTCCTCCTCCTCCTCCTCCTCCTCCTCCTCCTCCTCCTCCTCCTCCTCCTCCTCCTCCTCCCCTCCTCCTCCTCCTCTCCTCCTCCTCCTCCTCCTCCTCCTCCTCCTCCTCCTCCTCCTCCTCCTCTCCTCCTCCTCCTCCTCCTCCTCCTCCTCCTCCTCCTCCTCCTCCTCCTCCTCCTCCTCCTCCTCCGCCTCCTCCTCCTCCTCCTCCTCCTCCCTCCTCCTCCTCCTCCTCCTCCTCCGCCTCCTCTCCTCCTCCTCCTCCTCCTCCTCCTCCTCCTCCTCTCTCCTCCTCCTCCTCCTCCTCCTCCTCCTCCTCCTCCTCCTCCTCCTCCTCTTCCTTCCTGGCACCAGGGAGGCCAAACTCCCGAAGGAGCCAAACTCGCCCGAAGAGGGCACACCCAGGAGGGCCCAAGAGGCACAGGGTGCTGAAGGCTGCTGGCATCTGCTTCGTTCCGGCTTTCCGACGGCCCGAGACGACCGAAGAGCACCCAAAGATCGCCCCCCAGAGCGCCCAAGAGGCCTCCAAGATGGCCCCAGAACGGCCCAAGAAGTCCCCAAGACGGGCCCAAGAGGGCCCAAAGACTGCCCAAGAGGCCTCGAAGACGCCCAAGAAAGCATCCAAGACGGCCCTGGAGCATTCCAAGAGGGCCCTAAGTTGGCCTAGAGAGGCCCCCAAGACGCCTTCCGACGGCGTCGGACGGGTCAGGAGCCTACCAAGACTGCCCAAGATGGCTCTAAGATGGCCCAAGACGGCCCAAGAGGCCTCCAAAAGGCACCCAGAAAGGAACACAGAGGTCAAAATCCTTGATTGTCCCTAGGTGCGTGAAGAATGCTGACATTTGCTTCTGTACGACCTACCGACGGCCCGAGACGACCCAAGAGCACCCAACGGTCGCACCCAAAGCGCACAAGAGGCTTCCAGGATGGCCCCATAACAACCCAAGAGGCCCCTCAAGACTGCCTCCAGAACGGCCCTGGAGCACCCCAAGAGGGCCCCAAGTCGGCCCAGAGAGGCCCCCAAGACGGCTTCCGACGGCGTCAGACGGGCCAGGAGCCCACCAAGACGGCCAACGAGGCCCCCGAGAAGCCCCCAAAGGCCCCCAAGAGGCCCAAGGAGGCCCCCAAGATGCCTCCAAGAGGCTCCCAGGAAGCTCCCAGGATGCCCGAAGGGTGCCCCCACAGGCTCCCAAGATGCCCCCTCCTCCCCATCCTCCTCCTCCTCCTCATCCTCATCCTCCTCCTCCTCCTCTTCCTCCTCCTCCTCCTCCTCCTCCTCCTCCTCCTCTCTCCTCCTCCCTCCTCCTCCTCCTCCTCCTCTCCTCCTCCTCATCATCATCATCATCATCATCATCATCATCATCATCATCATCATCATCATCATCATCAGCAGCAGCATCATCATCATCATCATCATCATCATCATCATCATCATAATCAGAATCGTCATCATCATCATCATCATCATCATCATCATTGTCCCCGCCATCCTCCCCCAAGTGATCCCCGAAGGGTTTCCACAACGATTAAGGGAACACCTGGTCCGATAGCTTGGCAAAGCTCTTGCCACAACGCTCGGGCACATGGGCGATTCTAGAAGGCAGGGGGCGACGGTGATTCGCCGTAGGCGTCTTCGGTCAGAACACAGTACTAGTAAGGAGTATAATAATACGAATAATGATGGTACTACTACTGCTAATAATGATAACAATGATAACAAAGTAATGATATGTATAATAGCCGTAAGAAGCATCGTCATCAACATCATCATCCTCATCATCATCATCATCATCATCATCATCATCATCATCATCATCATCATCATCATCATCATCATCTTCATTATCATCGTCATCATCATCGTCATCATAATCATCATCATCATCATCATCATCATCATCATCATCATCATCATCATCATCATCATCATCATCATCACCATCCCCATCATCATCATAATCATCAGAAGCAGATCTTCATCATCAGCATCAGCAACATCATCATCAGCAGCAGCAGCATCATCATCGTCAACATTAACACTATCATCACCACCGCCATCATCGCCATCATCACCACCAACAACATCGTTTTCGTCATCACCACCACCACCATCATCACCACCATGAGCATTAGCATCATCAGCACCATCAGCATTATCATCATCAGCATCCTCACCATCAGCATCATCAGCATTATCCTCAACAGTCATCATCATCGTCATCATCGTCAGCATCATCATCATCATCATCAGCAGCATCATCATCATCAGCATCGTCATCTTCGTCAGCCTCATCATGCTCATCCTCATCCTCCTCTTCATCATCGTCATCGTCATCGTCATCAGCATCATCAGCATCAGCGTCATCATCATCAGCATCAGCAGCAGCAGCAGCTACATCAGCATCATCATCATCGTCACCATCATCATCAACAACATTGCCTTGCTCCCCATCGGTGCGCGATCTTTCACGGAAACAGTTGCAACGGCTTCGCTTGCTCTCCTCCTCCAGTATGTTCCAACGCGGGCTAACCGAGTCCGGCGAGAAGACAGCGACGAGCGAGTGCTGGCAGCGTCTTGGCCAGCCTGTTGAGCTGAAGGCCAGGTGCGTTTACTAATGCTTCGGCTGCAGAGATGGATGCGGACAGAGGGAGGGAGGAGGGAGGGAGGAAGGGACGAAGGGAGGGAGGGAGGAAGGAGGGAGGGAGGGAGGGAGGAGGAGAGGAGGGCGGGCGGGCAGGCCGCGGCGGCGGGCGGGCGGCCAGCCGGCCGGCCGGCCGGCGGGCGGGCGGGCGGGGGCGGGAGGAGGAGGGAGAGGGAGGGAGGGAGGGAGAGAGGAGGGAGGGAGGGAGGGAGGGAGGGAGGGGGCTGGAGGGCCAAGCAGGAGGACGGAGGGGGGCGGGGAGAGAGAGAGAGAGGGAGGGAGGGAGGGAGGGAGGGAGTAGAGAAGGAGAAGGGGGTAAGGACGATGAGGATGAGGAGGTACTGAGGAGGTAATGAGAAGGTAATGAGGAGGTAATGGGGAACAGAAGCAGGCGGAGGAAAGATGAGAAACAGGAGGCGCCTCCTCCTCCAGCTCCACCTCGATCTCTCCTCCTCTCCTCTTATCCCTGATCCGACACATGCGCCACTAGGTCCCCTTCCCAGGAAAACAAGCGGGTAGCCTCTCGTTCGACACCCCGGGCTTAACCCTGGGGGAGAGAAAAAGATAGCATAAGCTGTCCAAGCCTGCGCCGCGGTGATAAGGAAGGAAAGGATCCTGGGGTCTTGAGGCTGACACCGCCTGGCCGTGGGCGGCCAGGCTGGGGCAAGGCAGTCCAAAATCTCTGGGTTTCGTAACTCCTACCGTAACGGGTACAACGCCACCCAATGTCAGGGGGGGCCGCGGCGAGTAGCACGGTACAGTCCTATCCGCTGTACGCCAGTGTACCGCACTCGGGTCGCTTCGACAAATTGGTCGTCGGAGGCTCATGGACGCGTGCCCCATGGCGCCCTTTGGGCAAAGGGACTGGCGGGGGTGGTTCTGGGCACCGTGTCTACACAGGCCAGGTGACCCACATGGTCGTCGTGGGTGCTCCAGGGTCCCGACCTCATCGAGGCGGAGGCTTGGGTCGGCACCTTTGGGGGGGGGTCGGTACCTTTGGCGGCTGCGCGGAGCGACATGATCGCGGCGTTTGGGCCTGCTGAAACAGGCTGAACGTTCAGCCTTGTTAGTTTTCTGGCCACAAGGAAGTAATTACATACTTGCTGCTGCTGTCGGCGTGCCTTGACAGCACCCATTTTTGTCGTGAACGTTTTCGGCCGCACAACCGAGCTTCCCCTGCTCTGTCTTCGCTTGTTCTTATGTATGACTTCTGTTTGGGCGGAATCACTGGGAATCATATTCCTCATCATCCTCCTCTTCATTGTCCTCGTCCTCCTCCTCAATAATAACATAACTCCTCCCTGTCGGACCCCAAGATGTGTCGGTGAGGCGGGCCGGGAATTTCGTCTGAGACTTCCGCCGGCCTGTCGGCGTGTGTGAGACGTGTTGCCGTTTGAGTCGTCGTCGTCGTCGCCGTCGCCGCTGCCCACTTTTCCCTGGGCTCTCCTGTTCAAGCGATCCAGCAGAACCAAAATCGAACAACGTCGAAATTGAGTACAAGGGAAGCCCCTTCCCTTCGACCCTCCCCGCCGGGGTGGGGGAGGATCTCGGGGGGATCGCAGGGGGGGTCGCAGGGGGGGGTCGCGGGGGGGGCGGGGGGGAGAGCGCCAGGGGTATCCTGGGGAGAGGCCCCGATGGGCCCCGGGGGTCGCGACCTCTCCCCCGAGAGATCCCCACTCCCCTGTGGACAAGGGGGGCAGGAGGGTGGTTCCCCTGTGGACAAGGGGAACTCAGGACTCATCCCCCGCCTCCCCTCTGTGGACAAGGGGACCACCACCAGGCCTCCAAGAGGCCTCAGATCCGCTCCGAGGCGGCACCAAGGGACCGCGGAGCTCCCCGAAAAGTCCCCAAGAGGCCCCCCAACAGAGTCCAAGAGGCTCCCAAGAGAGCCCCAAGAATAGTTCCAGGGCGTCATCGTCGTCGTCGTCATCGCCGCGGCCGCCGCCGCCGTCGTCCCCGTTCAGCGTCGGCGGCACCAGCCGTAAGGCCTTCTCAATAACTCATCCCTGTCGTACCCCAAGGTGTGTCGGTAGGGCGGGCTGGGCGTTTCGTCTGAGACTTCCTCACCACGAATGATCCTGAAGTCTGAAGTGCGCAAGAGCCTCAAAGCTGCAGGGCGGCTCGTTTTCCAAGTGTGGTTCTCGCATTAGTTCGATTCTGACTTTGCAACAGATTCAAATATGGAAGGCGGCTCGTTATTTGAATGTGGCGGTCGCCTGGGCGCCGCGAACATTCGCCTTAAAAGTTTGCAGCAGTTTAAGAATTGGAGGGCAGGTCGTTTTCAAAATGTGATTCTCGCCTCCCCACCGCGCACACTCGTTTTAAAGTTCGCAGCACCTTCAAAATAGAGGGGCGACTCCTTTTCAAAATGTGGTTCTCGCTTCAGCGCCGCACACATTCGCCTTTCAAGTTTACAGCAGTTTCACGGACGCCAACGGTTGAGGTCCCAAGAGTACTGTTATGGTACGACGTAAGACTGTCCGAACAGAACAATCACGTTAGTGTCGAAGTTCCAAGAATGGTGTCATGACACAGTTTCGGATTGATTCGCGGTGTTGACGTCCCAGGGATGGTGTTCTGGCACGCAGTCACTTTGATTCGCTGCTTTGAAGTCCCAGGAGTGGTGTGTTGGCACGATGGAGGGTTCTCAGACGGTTGTTCCCCAGTGGGGCGCTTCCCATGATGAAAACACATTGAGGGACCTCAAAAGAGGGAACTGGGAGGGAGGGGTGCTTGCATTATCGTTGATGCGTCTTGGGTTTTCACTGGTGCTCCTCCTCCTCCTCCTCCTCCTCCTCCTCCTCCTCCTCCTCCTCCTGATCCTCCCCCTCCTCCTCCTCCTCCTCCTCCTCCTCCTCCTCCTCCTCCTCCTCCTCCTCCTCCTCCTCCTCCTCCTCCCCTCCTCCTCCTCCCCACTATCCTCCTCCTCCTATCCTCCTCCTCCTCCTCCTCCTCCTCCTCCTCCTCCTCCTCCTCCTCTCCTCCTCCTCCTCTTCCTCCTCCTCCTCCTCTCCTCCTCCTCCTCCTCCCTCCTCCTCCTCCCTCCTCCTCCTCCTCCTCCTCCTCCTCCTCCTCCTCCCCACCCCCCGTGCGTTCTTCATCCTCCTCTCCTTCGCCCTCCCTCCTACCAGACGCCTCTGGCGTGAGCTTGGGGGGGGGGAGGGGAGGGGGGGAGGGGGGCAAACCCACCCAGGTTGAGTTTGACATACCCCAAGAAACTTCCGACAAATGCCATAAACCATGCACGGCTTCGGAACCCATGGAGGCCCCAAGGATCGTCCTGGGGCGTTCCTGGGGGTCTCTTGCTTGGTCCGTCTCCAAGCCCCTGAGGAGGCCCCGAGAGGCTCCCAGAAGCATCAAATATATATATATATATATATATATATGCCTCCAAGAGGCCTCCGAGGGGCCCTCGAGAGGCTCCAACGAGGCTTCCAAGAGGCCCAAATAAGCCTTCCAAAAGACGCAAAGATGCCTCTGAGAAGTCCCTTGCCCACGACCCAGACGTGTCCCCACGATGTCCCAGGAGTCCACCAGGGCCTCGACATTATATAACCGTTTCGAAGAATATACGCAAACGCAGTGCGCCCCTCGTGCGTTCGAGTTTCCAAAAAAAACTTGGGTAAACCACAAAACACAATTTCATGTTAGCCGTGGAAGCTGATTGCGTCGTGCATTGTCGACTTGACGAGTCTAGCAGGGGCGTCCACGACGGCCCAAGAAATCCTCAAGTCTCTAAGTCTCTGTGTGAGGGAGAGAGAGAGAGAGAGAGAGACCATGATACCCTAAGAGTAACAACGCATGTCCCCCCAGGAGATCCGAATAGGCTTCAATCAAAACTCTGGTCCACAAATCAGACACAGCAGCGGGACGGGCCGCGGGCCACCGGATCGACTTCGCCGACGCCTGCCTGCTGGGGGCGGAAATTGCGAGGGGTGCAGAGGCATGTGAGGCATTTGGCTGTCCCCCTCTCCCTTTCCCCGGAGGAGGAGGAGGAGGAGGAGGAGGAGGAGGAGGAGGAGGAGGAGGAGGAGGAGCGCCTGGGGTCCAAAATGCGGTGTGATGTGGGGGAGATCGGGGGGACGAGGGGGGCCCTACGACGGCATGAGAGGACCCCCGGGCCGGCCGCAGGGGCCGCCCAGAGAGCCCCAGAGAGCCCCCAAAAATGGCCCTAAGAGCCCCCCCGACGCCTGCGAGGCGCCCACAAAAGAGGCCCCAAGAGGCCCCCAGGGAGTTCCCAAGAAGCCACCAGGAGGCCCCCAAGAAGGTCCAGAAGGCCCCCCAGATGTCCCCAGAAGCCCTCCAAAAGGCCTCTGGGAGGCATCCCACAAGCCCCTCAAATGCATCCAAGAAGCTCCTGACCCACCCGATAACTTCTAAGATCGTCGCAAGCACTCGCTCCTTCTGGGGGGTCGGCGGAATGGCGCAAGCCACTTGAACATAATTCCTCATCCTCCTGCTCGTCTTCCGTTGTCCGATGTTGCGAATTGGGTCCATGTCCATGTCCACGGCGGGCAGGGCATCATCTCTCCTTGGAGTGCCCTGGGGTGCCCAGACTTCAAGTGCAAGCACCACATCCCTTTTCGCGAATTCTTGCCTCCTCCTCCTCCTCCTCCTCCTCATCATCATCATCATCATCATCCTCATCCTCATCCTCATCCTCATCCTCATCCTCATCATCATCATCATCATCATCATCATCATCAGCATCATCATCATTAACAGCATCAGCATCAGCATCATCATCATTATCATCATCATCATCATCATCATCATCATCATCATCGTCATCATCATCATCATCCTCATCCTCATCATCATCATCATCATCATCATCATCATCATCATCATCATCATCATCATCATCATCATCATCATCATGATCAGCATCAGCATCAGCATCCTCAGCATCCCCATCCTCATCCTCATCCTCATCATCATCAGCATCATCATCATCATCAGCATCAGCATCATCATCGTCGTCATCATCATCATCAGCATCAGCAGCATCATCATCAGCAGCAGCATCAGCATCAGCAGCAGCATGATCATCAGCATCAGCATCATCATCATCAGCATCAGCATCAGCATCATCATCAGCAGCAGCATCATCATCATCATAAGCATCATCATCATCATCAGCATCATCATCATTAACAGCATCAGCATCAGCAGCATCATCATCCTCATCATCATCCTCATCCTCCTCATCATCATCATCAGCACTATCATCATCAGCACTATGATCATCATCATCCTCATCATCAGCATCATCATAATCACCATCGTCATCATCATCATCATCCTCGTCATCATCATCAACATTATCATCACCATCATCAACATCAGATTCATCATCACCAGAATCATCAGCAGCAACAGCAACAGCATCATCATCATCATCATCAGCAGCAGCATCAGCATTCTCATCAACCTTATATTCATCATCGTCATCATCAACAGCATCATCATCAGCAGCAACAGCATCATCATCAGCAGCAGCATCAGCATCATCATCACAGCAGCAGCAGCATCAGCATCAGCATCAGCATCATCCTTCTCCTCCGCCTACACCTCCTCCGACTTCTCATTTTGGTCTCGCTATTGCTCTGGCTCTTGCTCTTGCTCCTCCTCCTCCTGCTCCTCCTCCTCCTCTTCCTGCTCCTCCTCCTCCTCCTCCTCCTCCTCCTCCTCCTCTACCTCCCCTACCTCCTCCTCCTCCTCCTCCTCCTCCTCCTCCTCCTCCTCCTCCTCCTCCTCCTCCTCCTCCTCCTCCTCCTCCTCCTCCTGTTCCCCCTTCCCTCCCGATCCTCCTCCTCCTCCAGCAGCAGGGAAATCACGCTCCTCGGCGCAGTGCCTGCGCGTCGTACGTGGGCCTGCTCCGCACGGCGCGCGAAGCCTCCCCATCCGCGGCGGACGCCGCCACGGGGATGCAGGAAGCGACTGCCTACCAGACCACCCCAACCCAACCGGAAGACCCGAATTGGACCCGAAGTTCGGGCTGGGGGGGGTACGGGCGCTATATGTGATTTTTCAACGTTCCCCGACCCCCCCCCCCCCGCTGGAAGTGGAGGGCAAATCGATGCCTTCGGGTTGGGTTGGGGTGCTTTGGCAGGTGGTGAGGAAGGGTTACATCGTGTGAATGGTTTCATATTCGGAGTTTCGACGTTGGGCGCTAGGGAAGGGGGAGGGGGGGTCTGGCTCTGGACCTCTGCTTAATGCGACGGTTTGCAACAGTGCGTCCTATGGACGAGACTCCACCTGCCTGAAAGAAGCGCCAAAAACAGCCCAAGATCTACTCCACGGGGGGGGGAGGGGAAGGGTGCGGGGGCCCGCGCCGATCGGCATGGATAAGAAAACGATTACATTTTGCGGTGTTTGAGGCGTTTCTTCAACAACGGATTGATGCGTCGACTGTGCCTGCTCTGAGACGCTTGTACTTTGGAGTGAAAGGCTACGTGTCTGTATAGGCGGGAGCAGACAGCCAGTACTTCGAGATGAACCGGGGCGTAAAACAGATCAACCCCCTCTCACCTATTCTTATTAATTTGGTACTCGATAGGGGCTTTGACGGAAGTAAGCGAGGTGTGGAAGAAACACGGCTACGGCACCAACGTGGGGCACGACTTCCGGGGCCATCGCTTGACGCACATCGCGTTCGCTGATGACCAGGCGTTACTGGCAAGAAGCTGGGTCTCCATGAAGAGAACGATGTTGATGCTGAAGTCTGCCTTGCAAGCCCAGGGCTTGTCTTTGCATCCAACGACGTGCAAGGTGCAAACGAATAAGAACTGTTTCGTACGGCGAGGACAAATATCAATTGCTGAGGGTTTTTCTACAGAAGTGCTGCCAATGGGGGGGGGAGAAAACAAAATGGAGTTGATAGGCGCGACGCTGCGACTAGTGGACACGACGGGGGAGGAGATCGCCAATCGCATAGCTGTGGGTTGGCGGAAATTCTGGGCAATGAAACATCTGCTATAGAATAAATGCGTTTCGGTCCGGAAGCGCCTGCGCCTAGTCGACACCACCGTCATCGAGTGTATTCCATGGTCGACATAATGATGGACTCCACGGGCAGAAGAACTCAGAAGGACAAGGGTGACACAACACACGATGCTGCGTCGAATCGTGGGGCGCGGGAGGGCCAGAGAGGAGACCTGGGTCGACTGGATCCAAAAAGGGCGACATGCAAAGCTCGGCGTCTTGCACGCGATGGCGCTGTGAAAGAGTGGACCCCAGAACACTTCACAAGAAAATGGCGATGGGCGGAGGAACCGCAAATAAATATTCGACTGAACGGCATGGAAGGCGACAGGGTGGCGAGACGCGGCGTGGCAAGCAGCTGCAGACGAGCTCGGCGCGGCACGTCCTGTGCGACCCGCCCTCCCGCAGGCGGATGCGTCTCGAGGGTGTCGTGCGGCGCTTCTGCACTCGCAGGGCTCTTGGCGACCAGAGACGTCCGGCTCGCCACTCCACGGCTCTGGCAGGCTCTGTCTTCTGCTTTCGCTGCTTGGGCAGCCGCGGCGAAGCTCGACGAGCGAGGGCCTCATCCCCGGTGCCCCGCGCGGGCCGCTCTGACAGGACTTGAACCTTCAACCTTGAACCTTGGCACCAGCGAGGGTGTTCCATGCCCCAGCGTCAATTGGATCCACGGGGACAGGGTTCGCAATTGATCGCAGAAGGGGAGGGACGACGAAGGCGGGGGGGAGGAGAGAGGAAGGAGGGGGGAGTCTGAGGAAACTCACCTCTGGGGATACGAACGCAAAGCCGCTCGCGCCTAGTCTTTGGAATGGAGCTGGGAGCCACGTCTGCACGGACTCCCAGAGCATGCCCAAAGCTGGAACCTGAGCGCGCCAAACTTGTGACTCCACCTGGGAAGTTTGCTGACATGGTCTGACTCGCACACGAGGTGGCCAGAAAGCTCGGGAACACGCCGAGCTGGCGTGCGCGAAAAGAGCCGTGAGCAAGCGCTTCGCAAGAGGGGAGCAAGGTGCTGAGCTCCAGCTCTGCGCCAGTGGGCTCTGACAGGGTGGGGGGTGCAAGGGGGGTCCGGCGGCGTGCCTGTGCACTCCTGGGCGTGCGCGTGGGCCAAGACTGGCCCGGGTTGCCTGGACGAGGGCGCGCGGACGGCCCCTGCCGCGCCGCGACGCACAAAGTGTGCGTCGGCCAAGACGGTCGATCTCCCACAGGAGGAGGAGGAGGAGGAGGGGGAGGAGGAGGAGGAGGAGGAGGAGGAGGAGGAGGAGGAGGAGGAGGAGGAGGAGGAGGGATTACAGGGATTACAGCCTTCGCGTAGCGAAAAAGATCTCTAAACTCGAGCAGCGCTCGAGGCTCAGTTACACCTTGGGAAACAGGTCGCGAGAGATCCGATCGAGGTACTCGCGCCTCGTCCTGGAGATGGGAAGGGTGCAGGGGTTACCGAGGCCCCTGAGCTGGGCCTGGCCGAAGTAACCACAACCACTGCAGAACCAAATTCCAAGACTATGATGAAACGCTAGGGCATGCGAGGGGTGGGCCCACCCCCCAGCGACATGTACACGGCACCCCCGACGGACCCGAGACACCCTACCATCAACATTTTCAAGCGGCGTGCACTCACTAGAAAGCCAGACATCCCGAGACGCCCGACTCGCAAAGCTTTTACACACAACGCAACTCCTGCCATCCTCGCCGAGCATGTGACTGGCTCCGAAACGGGCAATGGTCGACGGGGCAGGAGGAGGAGGAGGAGGCGGGGCAGAAACAGGGGTGGCAGCCTCGAACTCGCTGCCCTCGGGCTGCTGCTGCCGCGCCTCGCGCCGCTGCCGCGCGCTCTCCGCGGCCAGCTCTCGCTCCTTCTGGATGCTGCTCAGCGCCACCCGCAGCAGCCGCCGCCGTACCAGCAGCGCCTTCTGCTCCACGGACTGGACACGAAAGCGATCGATCTCGGGCACTCGATGGTCCGTGGCGGCCTCCTGTGCCAGTCGGTCGGCAGCCTCATTGCCTTGCACCATCCAACTCGGGCGATTGTGACGGACCACCTCTTCGGCCTCGAGGTGGGAAGGAATCTGCACGACAGCGATCTCGGTCGGGGAGCGAGACTGAAGATGCCGACCAATAAGCCTCCAGATGCCCGCCAGTTGACCTGCAGGGCGACTGTAAGCTCTGGCCCACCATCCTCTGCAGACTCCCTCGCAATCTGTGACAAAAAAGAGGTGGCCCGTTGTGCATCGGATCGCAAGCTCCAGTGCCACCAGTTCGCCTTTCGCCACTGTCTGCACGCCTCCGACTAGCGGCCCGAACAGATGTGGCCCCAAGCGAAAGGGGTCGGATGCTGCGATGACACACACTGCAAGCCCAACACGACGGAGACGTGGGTCGTGGGTGTCACGGCCTCCTGACGCATCGCCAAACACACGAACAGGAAAGTCAACTGTGCCATGGCCCAAACATCATGGCCCTGCTTCTGCTGTGAGAAGATTCCCGCCTCGCCAGCATTCCTCATCTGCTGGGGGAGGGACAGCGGTCCATGCCGCTGGGATGAGACCACGATTCCAGAAGCATGCATGTGCCTCCTGGTCTGCCATGGCCTCCGCCGCAAACTGGTCTGAGTCTGCGAAGGCACGGGAATCAGTGCTGCATGAACAAACCCAGTTGCGATGGAAGTCGGACTCGGGAGCCTCTGAACAACGATCGCACACATTGGAAGCACACAACTGAACCTCGTACTTCCGCGCCTTGGTCCAAACACCTGCGACTGAAATAGCAACCATCAACTCTGACAACTGACGGCCACGATCCACAAACTGAAGACTGTGCATGAACTTCCGAAGACTAAAGAGATCAGCACCTCCCTCCAGCCCAGCTCCGCAATGCAGCTCAGCAGCGGAACGCCACTGCCGCAGGGCTAGAGACCATTCAAACTCCCTTAATAAGTCGTCAGCCTGGTCAAGTGAGCAGAGAGCCTCGTCATCAAAGATCCACGAGTGCTGCCCACAATCATTCGGCAAAACCCATTCAGATGGAGTCTTCGGATCCCAGCCTGCCTGCAGTAGGTACGCCGCCACAGCGGAGAGTGGGCCGCGGATGTGCCGTGACCTCTGGCTCTCTGGGATGCCTTTGAGATGGGACACCACCTGAGGCCATACACGGTAGACGCCTGCCCTGAGGGAGGGCTCGGCAATCCAAACTTGAAGCCACTGAGCCAGGCACTGCCGCGGAAGAAGTACACCTGGATCAGCTGTGGGGGCTCGAATCCCCAACAACGCAGTGGTGCAGCGGCCGCGGCGAACCCTGCCAGAGGCGGCTGTCAAGCTCCGACGCTGCTGCTGCATGGCCGAGCCGAACACCCCGTAGATCTGGTGCCCGTACGTGGCGGCTGTCTGCGGCCCCGCACGCTCCACACGTGCTGCAACCCAGAAGCGCCGCGAAGCTGCCGCGAAGCGCCGCAGCCGCCCGTGCTGAGCTCGAGCCTTGACCACGCGCCTGCGGGCGGTAGAACGGGCCCCACGCTTGCCTGCACCCTGGTCAACTCCCAGGTAGGCCGCCTGGAGCTCGGCCTTGAGAACGATGCCCTTAGCCTTGAGGGCCCGAACGACTGCCTTGGCGTCGGCGTGATGAGAGCACACGACGACGCCCTTGGCAGCTATACCCAAGGAAACACGACTCAACTCCTCGACTGTGTCGGAAACGCCTGCAATCAAGGTCGCCCGTACCTGTCGCCGAGAGCCAACAACCTTCTGAGCCAGATCGTCGATCCAAATGCGTTCAGACATATTGGGGTGAGCCGTACACAACTTTTCTAGAACAAAGTAGGTAAGACAACGACCGAATCTGGTGCCGCTCCTCAGCCCTTGGACCACGCTACGAGTGGGCTGGAATGGGAGCGAAAAAGACTGGAACTGGGAGACTACTCGC